ATTACAATTGGAACAGTAGCAGCACAGGTGGAAAAACGTAAAAATAAATTTGGAGGATTTGAAATGTATGTAGAGCAGTCACGGGCGCAATAACACAATCAAATACTGCGAAGTGTGTTATAGCGCATTCTTGCTTAAAAAAAAAATTGCTGATTGCCGCCACGCCTACATTGTAATTCCGCTATTTGGCAGCAATGCGGCCTGGGCCCAAAGCCGAAGGTGGTACAGAGGTGGTCAAAAACTGACAAGAGGTTTAGGGGTAGTATTATATGACCATAGGCGGTGATCTTCATCTTAATGCTAAAGCATCCATGCGATCATTTTAAGGCCTTAATCTTTGTAATCCGTCCTATGGAATTTTGGCCATCGTACTTTTACCGGTTGGCGTGATGGGGAAATGAATTTTACGCCGCTTCCCTTACATCGCTATGTTTGGCATGTTCGGTTCCGTCGTGATCTAAGCGTCGTACAAAAAAAATGTTCGTACCTACAAAAGTTTTGGACAATGAAATTCTCTACATCTTTGGCATTTGAAGATGCCAATTATTTTCCACAGAAAATTGTTGAAAAATGGCGAAAACCATGACAATTTACAATAAAAATTTGGTTCCTTTAAAACCTTATATGTATGTATATAAAAAGCTGGAAAATAAATTCTCTACAAATTTGTATTTGAAATTTTTTTACGAAAACTACTAAATCAGCTTGCAAATCGAAAAAAAACATAAAATCCAAGATGGCGGAATGTTCCCATATGAAATTTAGGGGCCAGACTGTGGATCCATGATCTACGTGTCAAATAAAAGTAAGCTGCATCAAAATAGAATTAAAATCCAGGTATAAGTCTGCTACCTTCGCGCCATTCGAAAATTTATGGTGCTTCAAAAAAGAAAAAAAAGGAAATATATTAGAAATTGTTTGCACCTTGAGCGAACTTCGTGATCTCTTTTTTCATACAATAAATAAATACATGCATACACATGCATATGTACACATGTATGTATGTACGTGTATAAATTCGGTGATAGATAATTTTAAAAATACTTTAATCAGCTAATTAAATTTGTTTTGAAAGTGACAGAACAGCTGTTTTTGGTCAGGCTATAAATTATGAAATTTATAAATTATAAACTACACTTTCACAAGCATAAATACATACTTATATGAGAACGAAAATAAGTACGCGTGCAAGGAGATTTGGCAGCCACATTTGCGAAAGGGTCGAAGTTTGCGAGGCGATAGTGTCTGATAAGCCACTCCAAATAATTGATTACACACTTATTTTTGCATAACTATGAAAAATACTGAAATACTGGACTTTATAGTTTTTAAAAATTTATTGATGTCCCAAAAATAAATATTTAAAACCAAAAATTATAAGCAAATATTGACTACTGCAAAGTTTTAAAGCCATTAAGAAGTAAGCAATGCACGCGAGCGCAAAATTTTTACTTAATATATTTAATTTTTTACATGAATTATTACATTCATTCGCAGCAAGCTTGTTGTAATGTCAGGCGATAGCAAACTCGCCGCAAAGCGATAATGATTCAGGAGAAAGATTTTGCTGACAAACAACTCAGCGCACGCTTTGAGGAAAACACAGCCATTCGAATGTAAGTATGTAAGTATGTTTGTAGGTAAGAAGCTGGTTAAAACTAGACGAAACGTGAAGTTGCTTGCGGAAGCTGCTACAAGGCGAGCGGAATGCGCGCTAACCCAACAACATGACGACTGATATGATATGACGTTGACGTCGGTGACAACAGCTTGAATGTCGGTGAACGACACAACGCCTTGAGTTAGCTACTGGGTGTGTAGTCTACACATGAGTAAATGCAGAGTATTTCGTGGAAAGTGGATTACTAATTTCCCTAAAAGTGCCCCAATTCAAGTACGAAACGGTAACAATAAACGGAGCAACTCGAATATACGCTACTGGAGATATGTTCGTGTGTTCATATGTATGTATGCGTGTATACATGTATGTATGTAAGTGACTGGCTTAAGTGCATTAATTAATTTTCCAAATTGACTATCCACTTAACCACCCCAGCCCCCCAACTATTCTCTCCGACCAGTTTAACTTTAGTCACTAGAGTTAAAGACACTCTTCCGACACATGCGAGGTGGGTGGCTGCGCACACAACACACACGGCCACAGCCGCAGCCACAGCCACAGCCAAATGAGTAATACCCATCCTTATTGATATTAAAACGAAAATGAAATGACAGTCATAAAATGCGTTTGACCTGCTATATAAATAATTAAGCACAAGCGCAACGCAACGCAACCAAGTCATGGACTGCAGTTAGTTGGAATTGCAATTACAACGAGAAGAAGAACAAGAAGTAGAAATATCAAATAATAAATGTAATGAGTGCTAATTTCGCAAAAGATGGACGCTTGGCGAGCGCAAAAAAAATAATACAACGCATACACGTACTTACTTACTTATATCCACAGCGTTGCGCTACTGAGGCGGTTTTATTGTATGCAAATAATTGCAACAATTAGGCGCGCAAAATGTGAACCTACAGCCGCAACAACCGGCATCGTATCATGCTGCTAGCGGCAATTAAAGTTAGAATAAAGTGATCAGTAACATGCCAGCGACCAAAAATTGTTTGTACTTGTAACACAAAACTAGGAAAGGTATGCAGAAATTTTAGGCTGAATACAAATGGGGCAACTGCTGCAGCAACCTCAGTTAGGTTAGGTTAGGGTTCTCCACCGCGTGAATCCTGATAGGACAGTGGCCAATCAGTACACCTACAATAATTGAGAGATCCGGCTTCGCGAGCCTAAGGAGATCCTTAGACCGCCCCAGTCCACCCTCGACTAGAATGAAACATCCACACGTAGTCAAAGGAGCTCCCAGACTCTTCCACCCAATCTCCCGTCCCAACCGTGTAAAAGCTAGCTGGTGCCGGGCTAGACACGCACTGATCCAAGTTATCAGGGATGAAAACGAAGCTTCCGAAAATGCTAGAGTGTCAAGACTCCGAATCAGTCAGGCAACCAATGCCCCTAAGTCTGACTGCCACACTTTCTACAGCGGCTCTACCTGCGATATCGACAGGTGCTATGTCAAGCATGACGTTAAGGGCCAGAGTGGGAATACTTTGAGCCGAACCCAAAACCCTTCGACGATTTCCTCCTTTGCCAAAGTTGATATAGTTGTATTCAAGGTTGCCTTTGCTTTCCACTCTTGGGTGTCGATCTATCTTCTTCGGTGCCCGTCGCCCATGAAAAATTCCCCTTATAAAATCAGGGTAATAATGTGAGATTTGATTTTCAATTGCATACTAAGCCAAAAATAGTAAATCTAAGAGTTATTTTTTGCTTCGTCGCTGGAATGATATTACTGGTTGAGTTTACACTGAATCCTAGGTAGAGAAAGTCCTTCACTACTTCAAAGCTATAACTGCCAACAGTGACGTGTTTACCAATACGAGCAGACCCTTGGTATATTGCCACGAAGTACTTTGTCTTTTCCTCGATTATCGCTAGACCAATCTTTTGTGTCCTTCTCTAAGTTGTAAAATGCTCCGTCCACAGCCTTGGTATTAAGGCCGACGGTGTCAAAGTCATCTACATACGGCTACTGGTATTACGCCTTCAAATCATAATCCTAACCAGCGAGACACCTCTACACATCCTCACCGAGTGTGAGGCAGTCTGCAGAAGACGTGAGAGAAGTTTAGGCTCGATGTGGCCAGAGCTTATGCACATTCACTCCCTATCCCCAAAGGTACTGTTGAACTTTCTCCGGAACTTAGGTTTAGATGAGGTACTAGGCGTAGTTTTTTGAAGTGCATACGTATCTGCGCTTAAAATTTGTATGGAGCTGTAAGCGACAAACTTCATTACATTGAAGAACGACGCGAAATTGGGTAGCGCAGTCTAAACCCTTGTTGGGCCCTGAACGGCGCTTAGAAATTTAAACGGAGCTAAAAGTTGTGGCATTAAGCCGCATGTAAACAGATTTATTGCGTGCTGTCAAAAGCGGTTTTGAAATCGAATGCAAGGTGGCAAATGCCGATTTGCTTATCAAGGGACTATTTCAAGATTTGATGTGGTGGATCTTCCCGAACTAAACCACACTGTATTCATTTGGCTCTTGAAAGGTTTCAGTTTTTGAGCGATGCTAGTTTCCCGTTAGGACAGAACAAAGTTTACGCCAAATTTTCTACGGGATACTTAATCAAACGATGCAAAAAGGCCAGACTAGTGTTATGCTTGAAAAAAAGTTACGAAAAATAAATTCTTTCGTCTCTCCTATTTACGCTGCCTGTTAATATTGCAAAATATTGCAAAAAATTTACGGAAGGCAACAAAATATGCTGGTCTTTATTGCATTATCGCATAAAAAAGGAGGAAGAAATCACAGCAGCTGGGCAGCGTGCTGCCGACGGCAAAGCGACGAAGTAAATAAACAGAATCAAATAAATAAATATATATTGCATACATATGTATGTACATATGCAGTGCGTGAAAAATATGCAACAACAAATATGCCAACACAAATACACTGGACATGCAAGTGGAGCATAAAACTGTGATAAACAAGTGGCAAAAACATTTTATAGCACAGCAAAAGCAAAACAAAAGATTAAATAAAAAAGCGCATTGATGACGGGACGTGCGAAAAAGTTGTAAACAATGGCAAAGAGGAAATAAAAAATGCTGCAGATAAACAATAAGGAGAAGAAAGAGTTCGAGAAAACGGAGATAAACGCAATGGCCATTGACTGGGCGGCAGCAAAAAACAAGCGATTGCAGACACAGCCATCAGCGCCACTATGCAACTTAGCTCAGCCACTATGCAACACAGCGCAAACGTTGTAGCTGCGGGTGCGATACTACTAACTGCACCTCAACCTCCTCACAGACTAAAGCAGATACCACTGGCCAGCGACGGAGAGGCAGACGAAGAAGCAGTGGCTCTGGCTCTGACTGCGGCTGCGGCTGTGGCTGTCACTACGGCTGTGGCAGTTATCTCTGCTGTCGTGCTCGTTGTAGGTAGTCGCACTGGTCGTGCAAACAATGCGAACATCGGTGCTCGCATATAAATTGGGACGCATGCAGCAGAATGTCCGATAATTTGAATTTGTCATTCGCGCTCAGAATACAGAAAAGTCTAAACGCAGCGGTACAACGTGGCGTATGCGGCATGCACGAGAAAGAAAATTGTTGAAGCAAAAGTAAACAAGTAAAAATACATACATACAACGGTGTTTGGTGCATAGTGTCGAAAAATAAAAAATTGGCGAACAGAAGTAAACACAAAACTATATAGAAAAATTTGAATCAAAAAGCAAAATAGGGAAAGCATTAAACGCCAAGCGGAAGAAAGTTATGCAAAAAAAAGAGCAGAACGCGCAAACACATTAGTGAACAAAGAACTGTTTGTAAAGTTTACAAACTCGCTTAAAGTAAATATTCTTTTCATGCACACACATAGTTGAAAGCAGAGTGATTTTTTTTTTGTGTGCAAACTCACCACTAAAAGGATTAAATACATACAAGCACTCGGACATACATTTGGAGCCACCAGCGAAATTCAAAAGCGCAAAACACACATAATAAATCATAAATAACTGCAAATATTTAGCGGGGAAATGTTGCCGAAAGTATTCCACAGTTTTGCCATTGTTGCATTGCTGCTTTTTACCCTAATGACAGCCAGCCAGTGTGGCCCACTGCCAAAAGTGGACGAGGTAAGAGCGCTTAGAGGATAACGGAAATATTGTATGAAGCCTAAAGAGGCTTGCCGTATAACGAAAATAAATCGTTAGGATAGAGATTTCGTAATTTAATTTTAATTTGATTGGCTTAGTTCGTTGAAAATAACTGACATAAACAGGTATTTAGTAGGAAACAAAGAGCACATACTACTGAGGTTTCCGTAATGATTGCCTCTACAGTTGCCTCGTGTGTATTGAACAAGAAGACCAGGTTGCCTCAACGATTGTCCCGTGTGTAGTCAGCATAATAACGTTCAAATAGAAGTAACAATTAGAACAGAAACTAATATAATTTTAGCGCCTGAAATAGTTTATAAATCGAAATGTAAAAATCGCTTGCCGGAAAAACAATTAGTCAAAGATAGATAAGAAGAAGAAGTACAAGTACACTCTTTACGACATTCGTCTCATCCTAAAGTCTATACACTGCTTAGAAGAACTCTTGAGTTTGGGGAGTGTATGGCCTCATTTTTCCCACAGTAAACCTACACCATTTCTCACGTCTTCTTGAAATGGTCCACACTCAAAGAATAGGTGCACTGGTGTATCTTTGGCTGAGTTTGACCAAAGTATACTTATATGTACATATGTATACATATATGGATTAGAATATGCAATCTGCAGTGTCCTATAAGGATAGCTATGTTAATAATCTTAGTTTCTCCTTATGTATGTTAATTAGAAGCTGGCAATACTACCATTGTCATCTATAGGGAAAATAACCAGTGGGACCACATTTTCTGCCTTAAAAAAGCTTCTGCATTTGTGTTATAACAAGAGGGCACACGCCACAAATGGGAGGAGAAGCTCGGCCAAGAAGCTAAAATATAATTACACCGGCATACAAAGAAAAGTGGTGTGTGCTTTTAACCAGACACACCTACCGCCATGTATTTCGACCCACACAAACCGATCTGAGTCCGTTTGACTCGTAAATTTTGAGTAAATATGAAAAAACGAAAAAAGTGCCAAAAAGTTCGCAATTTTCGCAATTTACTCGAAATTTTGAGGGTGTACGAGTCAAACGGACCTCAGATTTGGTAGGGGGGTCTGGGAAAAGCACACACCTCTTTTTTGTGTGCCGGTGTTATTAGTTTAAGATACATTTTCTTTGCGAAAGGAGTTTTGTCATTGTGCATAAATGCTGGCTGGAGTTCTTTTTTTGTGTTTCAAGAACCGTCCCATAAGTGCCTGATATCATTGCACGTAAACTTCACCTCGGTGACGTCATTGTCCACGATTTCACAAAGAGCTACATGTGTAAATACATATATGCCTAACGGATTGGTATTAAAATCTACTTTGTATTATACCGCAGAGGGTACTGTGAGCTTCCATCTGGCAAATGTAACAATTTCATTCAGGCAGCGAATACGATTGTCAGAAATGATTTTAATAAGTTCGTCCCCCACTTAGCTACACAGGAGAAGTGGCAGAACAACCCTCCCGCGGGCATCACTTTATCGTTTGTACTACGTCTTTTCTAAGCTCTGTTTCTAAGCAGCTTAGCTACCCAACTGCTGATAGTTGGTTGCAATGAGAGGCATTATTTCTCCATACTCAAAAGCAAGTTGTATCTCAGTAGTCATTTTATACCGGACCCCTAGACCTCCTGGCCCGGTAACCGTCAAGAGTTGGGATGCAAAGGTACGTGCTATTTATTCAATAACAAAAAAGAAAGAGTGCAACAACCAGCCACCGCGCTATACTTCCTTCTCGAAACTCTAGGCTAGCTGCAATTCAACTACACACATCGAACGCTATTTGTCCGGGTCCATAAACAATTATGCCACCCCACTATATTTTTTTTTAGAAAAGTTCCCCACGGAATTAGCAGAGAAGATCGAATCAAAAGGTGTCAGTGTAATTAGAGACGAATAGAGCAGTCGATTAAGCCATGTCTGTCTGTCCGTCCGTCCGTCCGTGTACACGATAACTCTAGCAAGAATTGAGATACCTCAACGAAATTTGGTACGTAGGTTTCCGTTAATCCAAGGTAGGTTGGTATTGAAAATGGGCGAAATCGGACTGTAACCACGCCCACATCCCATATAACGATAAGTTCCAGAAATACGAAAACTGCGATATTTTAGATTATTCACTCAAATTTGATATTTACAATAAATTTTAACGAAAAATAAGAATATTATAAATTTTTGGAAAATGGTAACCGCTGCACCAATTTCTTCCAAACTTGGCACAGTTGATGGCCTTGGTACAACCGAAAATTTTTAAAATCGGACGATAACCATAACCATAACCATATAACGGTAATTTAGAGAAATACAAAATTTTTGATAAATCAGTAAATATTAAATCTAATTTATTCAAAATTTGACGCTTGCAACAATTCTTTACCAAGAAATACGTTTATGGTAAAATTTTGGAAAATGGGCGTGGCACCGCCCACTTATGATCACATATATGTATATCGGTAACCGTTCTACCAATTTGTACCAAACTCGGTATGGTTATTGTGCTTGCCACATAGAAGCAAAACGTTGAAAATTATTGAAATCGGACTTAAGTTACGGCCGCTTTTCATATAACGGTAAAGATGGAAAACATATATTTAACACTTGCGCCGGGTATTTAATATTCGACTCCGCCCGAACTTAGACTTTCTTACTTGTTAAATTTATATTTGTTTATATTAAATTTGTTAGTGCAACTGGTCAAAATAAGGCGAGTCTATTATTTCTGCCACCAGTATACATTAAAGTGGTCCAAAAATGTATGTAAAAAAAATAAGGTCGGATTTTTAATGCCGCCACCCCCTAGGATTGTTATATACAGAAAAAAAATATACCCATATTATTTTATTTTGAAATCAAAAAATATTTAGGGAGTGCTCAAAGCGCTCAAAGTTTTCCATGTATTTTATATGGAGAAAAAACTATTTTTCGAAGAAATGGTATAAAACTCTTGAAAATCAATATTTTTTGACCGGAAAACTGTGGTTATCTTCAGGAGACTTCCAGTATTAATATCCAATTGTTTATTTAACCATTTTTTATGATTAAAGATTTTTTATTGGTCCCCCCTTGCATTTTCTAAGGGCTTTGGAAGACCTCTAAAATATAGTTACCATGAAAAAATTGTTAAAGAAACAATTGAGTATTATTACTGGGAATCTCCTGAAGATAAGTAAAGTTTTCCGATCGAAAAATATTGATTTTCAAGAATTCTACACCATTTCTACGAAAAGATGTTTTTTTCTCCATATAAAATACATGGAAAACTTTGAGCGCTTTGAGCACTCCCTAAATATTTTTTGATTTCAAAATAAAAAAAGGGGTATATTTTTTTCGATATAGATCAATCCTAGGGTGTGCCGGCATTAAAACTCCGACTTTATTTTTTTGGACCACTCTATTATACATACATACTCAGTATAAAAATCTATTCATAGATGTTATCAAATCAAGGTCAAGCATGTCCAACATGCCCATAAATTATTACTTTTACAAAACTGCTCTAAGCAACGTGTTAAACAAGCAACAAACAACAAACATTCATAATAAAATGAACTGAAAATAAATTGATAAATAGAGGACAATTCTAAGCTATTTTTGAAAGATATGCAGAGCTTTAGAAAAGTATGAATCAGTATGTATATAGGTATATATATGAAGGGAAAATAAAGTGACTAACAATAAATTGTTATATTTGCCTATATAAAATTTACAAATTTACAAGATTAAGCAATTTAAGGTATGTGACTAAAAATAGCAACACCAAGAATGCAGCGGCCATACGCCCAAAGATTGCGCAGTAAACATTTACAAAAAAAGACTGGGGCAGTAAATAGTACGATACGTGACGACAAACATAGAAAAAAACAGGCCAATTTCAATAATTTAATATATGTAGAAAAATATATATATTTCTGTAGATTGGTTTAGCAATTTAGTGGAATAGCCGAGCAGAAGGCATGAATATGAAGCTGTAGTGATTGCTATTGTTGTTGTTGTCATATTGTAATAATATGAATAATGGCACACGCATTTTAAATTGGTGTCGACAAATGCGAGTACGAGTACTAAGCCCATTACTCCTAACCAAATGAAAAAGCAGGTCTTTCACATGACGTGAATCACTTACATACATACATACATATGTACATATGTCCTTATATATGTAGCTCGGATGGTGCTTTCCATTCTTATTCCTCTTACTACCTTTTCTTCTCCATTCTAAGAATATTCTAATGAAACCTGAGTGCAGCTGTACTCGGCTGCAAGCGGAACATCTCCACTTGTTGAGAATATGTTGAGCAAAATAGAAAAGCGAAAAATATTCTAATTGAATTAAATTAATTCTCATTCTGTGATGTGTGCGCGATTTTATTTTATTTTAATTTTTGTTTTTTTTTTTACTTTTTTGCAGCAACAACTTTCGAAAATTCCGCAATGGCATTGTTTGCGATACTTTAAACACGATTTGTTGATGATGCGTCGTTGCCGACATTTGCATGTGCCAACGGCGCCACGCTCGGGCAATGTCAAATGAGTGCCGGTGCTGGGGAGACCCTGGCCTCCACCACCTTGGATTGGTTTCGTTGCGAACTGATTAACTGAATGAATTGAATGAAGAGGCAATGGGGGAGGGGG